AAAAAAAATCTGATTTTGGAATTTTCAAACTTGTTTTCTTATTTTTGAAATAGGTTAAATTTATTTTCTTGAATATGTAATCTTCCAAAAAAAAAAAAACAGAGCAACCCATCCATGACCCAACTACCGAAGCCCACCATGAAAAAATGTTTATGCTTAAAAGAAGCCCACACTTTCGGCCCCTTTCTTCCCCTCCCCGTTCCCCGAATTCCCAATCCCTATCCTTCCCCCCAATTCCCTTAATCCCTTCCCCTTCCAATTAGCGGCTACTCATAAAAAAATGGTGTTGGGTTGGTAAAGAGGGCACAGGGAAACAAGAAGAGGAAATTAGAGCCTTATTGGAGGGGCACTCCACGGTATTTGGCTCCCGAGGCTGTGGTGGATAATGTGCAGGAGTTTCCTTCTGATATTTGGGCATTTGGGTGTATTATTCTTGAAATGTTAACTGGGAAACCTCCTCGGGATGGAGAAAAGGAATCAAATGCAGAGGACATTCTTCGCAAGATTTAAGAAGGGTGTGAATTGCCAAAAATTCAAAATGATATATCAAAGGAGGGAAGGGATTTTCTTAAGGGTTGTTTTGTGAGGAAACCAATGTTTAGATTGACAGCAGAAATGTTATTGAATCATCCGTTTTTGGGAGGTTTGGACGTCGTTGAGGATGGGAATGAAGAATTCGAGGAGGTTGAAGATTTGAATGAGATTGAATCTATTTTGTTAGTATATGAAAGTGATGATCAATTAAGTAATAGCTCGTTTCAAGATTATTGTAGCTTTGATTCTGGGGAGGATATCTTCGACTATTTGTCTAAAGAAGATGCGGAGGATGACGTTGTATCCCATTTTATCGAAGGAAAAACGAAAGTAAGTAGTACCTGAGGGTGTCATTGATGATTCTGGTTTTGATCAATCTATCAAAACAACGATATAATCAAGATATTCGGTGAGATACAGATTCAATTTTGCTTTGTGTATGAACAATTGATTATTTACAGGTAATATACTAGGATTTGGTTCTAGTTTTCTGCTAACTTGTATTTCTTCAATCATGGTATAGTTTAAGTTTTCCATTCCATTGTTTGTTACAGAATCAACACTTCAATTTTATGCTAAGTTTGCTTAATCATATTCGACACTAATTCTTTCTAGTTTTTCCATTGTGAAAAATACTTGGAGCGGTGGTGAATATAAAGAGGAAGTGAAAGAGGAAGTGAAAGAAAGAAGATAGGAGGAATTGGAGAATTTGGGAGAGAAATTTAGAAACAATCTCACATATGTTATGCCATAAAAATCATTATCTTCATCATTCAACAGACAAAGCAATAGTCCTATTTAGAGGTGAAATTCTTGAGATGACAGAATCTTAAAAAAGTAGCAATTCCTTGTGTTATGCTATTCCTTGTGTAACTTCTTGTCTGCTTCACTGGTATATTTATGCATACTTTGGTTGATTTGTAGGAAGATATGTTGAGATATTTTAATTGAATATCTCAAAATTCTATTGAAGAAAATCTGTCTCGCCCCCCCGAACAATAATTCTGGTTCCACCCCTGGTTGGCATTCTTGGTATCAAAGTCATCCTCTGATCCTAATGCCTCAATTAATTATGTCGGAGATGAGGTAGGAGACATCACAGGATTCTAGTGGGCACATTCTATCTGTTTAGAATGTTTTACAACTTTCAGGGTTTCAACCTTAATATCCCTGAGACTGCATTAGTTGGTATGCCGAAAATACGAATAGAGGATGAGAAGGAAAATATCAGGAGTGACTAATGCAAAAAACCTCAACATATGAGAAAAAATGTTGAAATTACATGGGAAGCCAACAAGTTTGAAGAACGAAGAGGATGAGAAGGAAAATATCATGAGTGACTAATGCAAAAAACCTCAACATATGAGAAAAATTGTTGAAATTACATGGGAAGCCAACAAGTTTGAAGAATGACAAGTTTCCAAAAACACACTGGAAATGATCTTCAGGTATCCTTAGAGCAGGTTATAGGGGAGAGTATTTTTCTTCCGTCCTTGGGGATTTTCTTATACCAAAAAGTAGTATGGTTTCACCTGTCTTCTGGTGCTACCCTTCAAATACAGCATATTGATGAGAGAAAAAACTAGACAGTTACTCGAAGTGGCTCAATTTCTTATATTTACTACTGAAGTTCCAGAGAACTGTTTCAAGGAGAAGCAATTCTAATTGATTCCTACTCGAAAAATCGTATGCTTATCTGGGTCCTTAATTTCAAGACTCCCCTGTATACCTTTTCCCAATTTTATCCCCTAACCAAGATCTTGACATCTCTTCCTTCGAATTTTTTTGCTGCTTTGGCATTGTCCACATTCACTATTATAATGAGTTTGTTAAGTGTCTTTCGATATTCACATACTCAGAAAGGATCCGGATCCGATGTCCGAAAGGTTTTTCATGATAGTGAATATAACAATGTTAATGATAGTGAATATTACATTGTTTGAGAACAAATCATTCTTTTAGTAAATTTCTCACTCCTCTTTGAGGGAGAATTCCATACAAGATCAGCTTTGGGAGAAAATTCATTTGCACACTCCATCTTATTTTCTTTATCTTTTTTGCTCTCGGTGTCTCACTAAGTTCTCTTTGTATTTGTTCTGTTGTTTCCAAGTCGTCGTCTTCCTGTTACAAATGGTACAATTATTGATACTTCAAAATTGTTGTAGGATGCCATCGACTATGTTCATGAAGCAACTGATAGAAGTTCTAGCACAAACCTGAGCTGTGTCTGTATTCTAGAAGGCAGTCAATTCTCAGAATCGGATCATAGATTACTTAATCAACAACACCCAATTTCTGGTTATATCTTATAGCATTGATTGTCACCCTCTTTTTAGAGTACCCAAAATCCGTGCAGGATGCTCCTAAAGTCCCAGACCGATAAATATATCCCTTGCAGCATAGAGAAACAAGAAGCAGTCAGTTCTACTGAAGATAAACGGGCTGGTTGTATCACAGACAAAGGGTTAATTTCAGGTTTATGTACATTTGTTTACTAAAATCTAGTAACATGGAGAGCCAAGAAGCAGTTGTTGCTAGATGTAGTGCTGAGCCTGAATTTGTGGCTGTTGCACTCAAGTTATGTGAGGACTATTATGGCTAAAGAAACACCTTAAAGAGCTTAAGGTGAATTTAGATACTCAGATGAGGCCATATTGTATAAGATGGCAGCTATCCATAGTTCTCGTAATCCTGTCACTAAACCTACTAAAGTGGATGGGCTTTTGTTATTTTCAAGCTGGAAAGTGGGCTCACTTGTATGCTATTCATCGCAACAACAAAGCAACTAGTTGATATTATCATTAAGCGGTTGCATGTCTGTGTTGTAGCAGTTGATAAACAATGTGGAAACATTTGATAATTTCGAGCCAGCATCAGGCAGAGTGTGGAAAGTTATATGTATTTGTTGAGAAAAGAATAAAGGATTAAGACATGGGCAAGGCATTTAGGAAGATTAGGTATACTGGGAGTGAGATGATTTTAAGGATAATGGAGTTAGGAAGTTTAGATTATCGACTGTAAAATCTCCTAGCCTTGTAGGAGTCTATGTACTCTGCATATATGGTTGCATTCTCAAATATTTTAGAAGTGAAACATATATGTATTTTCCATTTTTTCATATACAACTATTGTGTGTTATGACGCTTGAACTGTCACCAATGAACAAGGAATTGCTTATGTTCAGCATGTTAAATGAACTACTCTAGAGATGGTTTCTCATGTTCAATTCTATTAATTACCGACCACCAGAAACATGTTACTCCACTACCCTTCGTAAATTATGCAGTTGATGGCAAACAAGTTGTCCTTTTGCCCAGATAAAGCTGGTTATCTCATTCCCCACATGGCAAGCTGTGCTAGGAGTCATGTTAGATAGAACTCTTGCAGCAAACATATCTCCCTTTATTTAATCACTGATCCATAAAATATACATGTCTCTCACTCTCCATTTTGGGATATGGGGATTATGGCTGGCAGCTCTTCTCCTATTTTCCGCTCACTGGTGTATGCCAACCCCCCTTTTTTTTAATGTTTTTGGATGGCGTGGGGAACTATGTAGATAAAGTAACCTGAGTTTTGAATAATTATGGTAACACTTCTTTTGTATTCTTGTTCTTCACACTTCACTGGCTGGGTCGGATAACTGGTGACCATTAGCTGTTGGGAAACTGTGAATGAAATTATAACAAAATTTTCCCAGTTTTTCCTCTGTGGAGGAAATGGGCAAAAGTGAGAAATTCTTAAAAGTATATCTTTGCCTGAAAATCTAATCCAAGTAAAAAACCAAGCATTTAATTTGAGACCTAGGTTGAACATTTACCTGTATAATATATATCCCATTGCATTGCATGTTGCGATATTATGGGTGACTTGTGGCTTTTATAATAAGCGTTCTTGCTTCACCTTCTGCTTTTTCTTTGTTCACTTTTTTTTGGTTGTATTATCGTTCTGATTTGTGAACGTATTTAATTAATAGTTTAGTTTCTTTATCCGTTTTTTCTGCAGCTGGCATTGACAGCTTTACGGAGGTCTTGTGATGTGCATAAATTTATTGACTTTGAGAGGTTTGAATACAATCAATCACTTAAATTATTTACAGGTCAAATTCCATTTCTTGTCTAAAATAACCATAAATAAACCTCGTCTAGATACCTGAAAAGCATGCTATCGAGGCAGAATCCTGCTTATCCCATTTCAGAGTTCTACATTTCCTTGAATGCCATCAATACTATGGTATAATTATTTCCTATGACATTATAATGTATACTAACAATATGTAACCAGTTGTGGTAGTCCACTAATTCGAGATACTTGAACAGATAAATAAGTTGGAGACGCCTACTTCCAAAGATGTAAAGCATATCGATAGGAAACTCAAATCATGTTTGGATCCGAGTTCACATGACAAGTACTTTCCATGAACCTTATTTTTTTTCTTGTATGGATTTTCTCTTTCTCATGTGAAGTGCGTTTTGTTGATACAGGAGTAAAAAACGAAAGCACAGATCTAAAGAGGGTTCAAATGAAATGCAGTGATATCTTTATCGCGACTCAAGTCTCTACCTAATTCCTTAAGCTTGTGTGTTGACATGTCTCTTCATTTTGGTGCCGCTCATTTCAGAGCTAGTATGGTGCATGAATGATAATGGAGTCTGCCATTGCTGGGAAAAAAGCTTTCGTTATTGTTTTTTGCTCTGACGACAGCTGTTGTTGGAGATTTTGTTCCATTTTCTGCTGAGGGAACTTCTTCCATGAAATGTTCAGCGTGGTGTGGTATTTGCCTGGACGGAACTATCAGAAATCTTTATAAAAAATTGAAATCTTACAATATTAGACAATTATAAGCGAAAAAGCTTAATTTTAATGTAAAAAGCATTGACATTCTTGTAATCACTACTCTATTAAAAGAGAGGATGACCGATCACTATTCATTTTTGCACATGAGGTTTCACATTTGATCACTTCATATCTGGTTTCGCTATAGTAGCCTACAGTGAACTAGCGTTTTTTGTTGACTTTGTAATACTTCAATTAATGATTTTGTAGTCGGTTGTCCATGATTGTTTTTGTATTTTTGTTGTCGATTAATATTTTTGAAATATCTTCTTTCATGTATTGGAGAAGTAAATAG